ATATATACATATATATGTATATATATGTATATATACACATACATATATATATATACATACACACACACATACATGATAAAGTGGAGCCCACCATTGTATACCCATACACGTGTGTGTTTGTGTGTATATGTATGTATATGCATTATGTATACACCCACACGTGTGTGTGTGTGTGCGTGTGTGTGAACTACAAAGTTATGTCCCATAAATATGTGTAGTTCCCATGCACAACAAAAGAAGACAAGGAAGATTCCCAAAATTATAGAACCGATAAGACTCATTTACGATTGTAAGCCTCTCAGAGTTACTTTGAGGTTAAATGGATGGTCAATAAATTTTACAAATAAATAAAAAAGCAGATAGTGTTTAATCTTTATGCTAATTTTAGAAGTTCTAAATTATTTGGATGTTCCCATGCCAAAAATCCTTAACAGACACATCAACATCCTTTTGTATTCAGATTATATGGTCCTGATAATCTCAAATAGACCTGAGAAGACAGATGAAGAAATATGGTACCTAATGCACTACTAACTTTTTGAACATTAATAAGATTACATCCAAAGTGGTAGTTCTTGGAAAACAACAGGCCAAATACAATTTGGTTTTTGGATGGCGAGTCTGTAAAACAAATAGATTCTTTCTCATATTTAGGGGTAGTTTTTACAGATGCAGGATCTTGAGCCAACCACTTTAAATGAAGTTCTATAAAGGCAACAGCCATCTCTAAAATGCTAACTAAATTACTCAGTTATAACCACTGAAGCACTCTTTCCCCATTTTAAAAGTCCACAAGGCAAAAATTGTACCAATGCTAAAATGTGACACGGGTAGTCTTATCAAACACTCCCTTACTTGAACAATATAATAGGCATTTAAACTATTTTAGGAACCAACAGGAATACATCTGCAGCAGCAGTAAGCATTGAAATGTAATGGGCACCCATTACGTTAATATTCCAACAGTAATCATATTTTTAATTACTAGTAGAGGATCCTCTTAATGGAACATGATAGACTATCAAAAATGTGTCTGGGCAAGGTAGTCCAGTAATGCATAGATGCCTTTTTAGATTATTCCAACTTCAAGTGAAGCTGATCCCGCCCGGAAGAACGGAAAAAGTTGCCTTCTTTAATACTTTGTAATATTCTGTTTGTTAATATCCGCTATGCCCCCCGTCCCCTCTCAAATGTGTACATAATCTTAACTGTTCTAGAAGGATTGGTTCCATAAGATTGCTATTAATTAGCTTTGAGATTTTATAAGTAGCAAAAAAGGTGTTAGATATAAAGAAGATTATAGGCACTTTTTTCCCCTCAATGTTTTATTGGGAAATTCAATGATATTTGGATTAATATTATCAAAAAGAAAAAAGAAAATAACTCTGTCCTGGAAAGTTTATGAAGGCTGGTTTTTGTTTTGTTTTGCTTTTTGTTTTTGTAAATCTCTTTTATTTTTTTCCCTTGAGGAAGTAAAGCTTTTTCAAAACAAAAACAAAATTGTGTCTGGAAGAATAGATGGACACACTTCAATCTACCATATGGTTTACTCAGCTTCTCCAAATCATCTTACATCATGCCTTCTCAACACAAAATCTTTCCCTTATTAGATATCAGGCCAAAGAAATTGAATATGAACAATATGAATGAAGAATTTTGGATGTTAACACTCAAAATCTTACCTAAAGATAGTTGCTAATATATTGTTTCCTTTTTGTTTTGTATCTCTCTTGATCTACTCTGAGGTTGTCTTTAGCTTTCTATTCTCCTCACGTCCCATGTCTTTCCTTAAGGATCCATCTTTCTTGACCAAGTAGGGATAAGCAACATTCTGAGTGATTATTTTGATGACCTCATAATCACAGACATAAAAACATCCAGCTCATAATATTGCCACTACAGGTAGGCCCTATCTATGAAAGGAAACACACTGCCATTGCAATTATAATATCAGAGAATTCAAAGTTGCATTGGAAAAATTAAGCCAGTTTATAAATAAATTAACTGGATATAATGCTTTTGTTCAAGCAGTATCTTACTTATTCATGTATACATTTACAGTACATATGAGTTATTTTCACTTAATGTTCCTACTTCAGACATCTATTTTTCCAAAGTACAGTTAACTAAAAGAATGGGACGTGGACTAAAATTGAACTATAACAGTTTAAAGAAAATGTTTTTTTTTTTTATTTTACAAGAAATGTACATTGAAATTAATTTGTTGCTCCATCTAATTTATAACTGGCTAAATAATGGCTAAATTGCCATTATTATCATTTAGCCAAAGTTTAAAATGTTAACCTTCATTTTAATTGGAAAGTTAAATTTTGTATTAAATTGCTAAATTTTAAAGATTTCAACCATCGCTTGATCATAACCATTTTTTCTTCTACCCTTCATTAACATAATGCCAATGTGTACATTTATTTTTTCCTACTGCATCTAATCACTAGGTTTCTATGCACCAGTGATATTCAAACATGAAAAATATTGATTTTAACTCCTGTTCTAATTGATATCCTTAGGTTCATAAATCATTTGAAAGCATGGATTAGGTGGGTTTGAATAAATTAATAAAAGTTACTAATTTAAGCTAAATTAATTTAGGCCACTGCAAAAAAGGTTGGCTTAATGACACAACAGTTAGTGATGTGCAATTCCCTCTAAACCCAGACCATGCAGGTGTTATATTATTGCATTTTTAAAAAAAATATGGAGTCCTTGGTGCTCCCCCAGCTTGAATACTTTTTTACAAACATTTCATCACTTGATAAGCTAACATCATCAGTACTACTGCATGTGTGGTTTGCTCCCAGTTTATATACGGTAGCTTGCTCTGCCAGTATTGGTGGGGTGTCGTCCTCCAAATAACAGATTGCACCCAGTGGTGGGATTCAAAATTTTTACTACTGGTTCATTGGGCATGGCTTGGTGGGTGTGGTGTTGCTTGGTAGGCGTGGCAGGGGAAGGATACTGCAAAATCCCCATTCCCTCCCCACCCCACTAACCTCCTTTCAAACTTTGTTCTCGTGTGCAAAGGCAACAAAAGAAGACCCAACCAATCAGCTGGAACTTAGGAGGCAGTGAATAGATGGAGGCGGGGCCAGCCAGAGGTGGTATTTTCCGGTTCTCCAAACTACTCAAAATTTCCACTTTCAGTTCTCCAGAACTGGTCAGAACTGGCTGAATACCACCTCTGATTGCACCATTTTATAATATAGGAATTCCTACAGATTTTTTTCACATCCCTAACATTTGTTGTAGATCTAAATTTAGATGCAGGGTAAGTCCAAAACTTAGTATCCATTTAAGATAGACAAGGCCCTTAAATATCTGTTGGCACAATTACTCAAATATCTTCATGAGAAGCATTCGTTCCTCTATTTGTAGAGATTTATTATTCTAGAAATATTCAGCCTCACTGATCACTCTGCAAACAATCTGAGATATATAAATCAAGGATTTTCAAAGTAAACAATATCCGAAATAGGCAATTTGATCTAACGGGATTGCTTCCTCTGGAAATCAAGCTAAGTCACACTTAAAATGGCAAGGGAAAATGCATGCAGCTAAATCAAGATAATTTAGACCCTCCAACAAGATTGGCTCCTAATCCTGACAGTGATGTATGGTCCTTGTGGCCTCACTGCTCTTAAACTAATTCTTCTTGTTCTCAACCTCTTTTAATTTCTATGGATTCCAGTCAATAGCTTACAAACTGCATCTTCAAAATGAGCAGAAAAGATGATTTCACATATTTCCTTCTGGTTAATAACTTGTCTCCTGTTTTGTTTGGTTTAAATAAATTATTTACAAAATATCAATGTGCTTTCTCTGTTTTGTTTCATATATCTTTATCAAATTGTCCTTGAACTAAGAATTTAAATAGTAGATTGATGTTCGTGTTCTTTAAAACTGAATTCCCAAGCCTTGGGGTATAATCATTCAATTCATTTCAATGTTGCTTTGCACTGCATTGCACTGTACTATTTGATTTGGTGCTTGGTTTCTGATATGAATGGAGTACAAGAGAAGAAAATAATAGTTATTGTGCATTGAATATTTTGAAGAGATATTATAGCTCTGTCTATTTTGCAGTGTCTGAGGCAGAGGGAAGATTGCATCTTTACTGGATAGGTTGTTTGAGGTGCTGTTCGCAATTCACTTTGTAGTTTGTTTGTTTGCTTGCTTGCTTGTTTTATTTTTAAGACATCCAGAGTTGTTGGGAGCTGAAGGGACATCTTTACTGTTTACTTTATATACTTTAAATTTGTTGGAGACATTTTAGGAACTCTATGCTGCTTGTGCATCTTTTAAAAAAATAGGAAAACATTTTTGTAGCAATTTAAAATCAAAACTTTGAGCAACACACATTTTTTTCCGCACTGGGAGATAAGTTGAATACCTTCTAAATTATAAAGAATACAGCTGGATTATATATATTCTTCCTAATTTATGTGTGTATTTGCCAAGTGTCAGGGCAATAATCAGGTGTCCAGGCATTTTTTTCCTTTTTTGTATTCAGAGACAATAAGCACACCAGTAAATAGAGGGATTTTAAGCTTTATTATTTGCTCAAGTAAACATTTAAATGTACAACATAAAAAAGCATGTATACTAAGCAAGATGATGCCCTAACTGCCAGGAGTTCCTCAATAATAACAGCAGGGATACGCAATGTGCAGCCAATTTCTAGCTAATAGTAGTTTTTGTTGCAGAAGCTCCTCCCTAATAACAACCCTGCCATTTTTAGCAAAACCTGGCACCATGATTTCATGGTCCTGCTATGATCGGGAGACTGCAAGACCTGATCTTAACTGACTGGCATATGTCTCTGTGATAAGAATCCAAAGTCCGAGACGTTCTCCAAATATGGCTTCCTAGACTCTGCCTTGGCATGCATGTTTCCAATGAAACAGACCGAGATAGGAAGATCATTTTATTATGATTTATTCTGAATATTCTGACTAAAAAATAGAATAGAATAGAATAGAATAGAATAGAATAGAATTTTTTATTGGCTAAGTGTGATTGGAATTTGTCTTTGGTGCATATACTTTCAGTGTACATAAAAGAAAAAAATACATTTGTCACGAATCATAAGATACAACACTTAATGATAGTGGATTGCCGCACCTCAACTATTTTACTCACTGGGGCTGCAGTAGAAGGTAGGTTTTAGAGCTGTCTTGATACAAACTGTGTGTGAGCTCAGCAAACCAGTTATTACACTGGTTGAACCCACCACTGTATATATTCATTAGGTATTTGATCCTATTTGATCAAATCAATAATAAAGAGTAGCACTTATGCAGTGTGATGGGATGTATAGTGTTAGATATTAGTTCTAACTACAGTGGTTTCCACCAAGATCCTCTGTTCTGGCGGGAACAGAGGTTTAATCCTATTGGTCNAACAACAGAAGAACCTGGTGGCCGGCTGCTTCCACGATGGGCTGCTCCTCTACGCCTTGGCCCTGAACGAGACCCTCCGTGAGGGCGACACCCGGCTCAATAACAGCCGCATCCTGGAGAAGATGAAGGGCCGCAGGTTCCAGGGTACGGGGGGCTGCAAGGAGAGGGGTCCCAGACTCAGAAGAGACCTAATTAGGTGGACAGGGGCTGGAGGGGAGGTCTGGGTCTCAGGTCCAGGCAGGGCCTCCTGGGTGAGGTGCCCTGGGGAGTGACCTGTCCCCAGCTCCATCCACGAGGATGATGGTGCTGCTGGCCCCAAGTGTTCCCAGGGACCTGACCCAAATACATGGCCGCGTTTGCTTCTCCAGGGATCACTGGCACCGTGAGCATGGATCAGAACAACGACCGCGACACAGACTTCAACCTGTGGGCCATGATGGAGGGGGAGAGTGGCGAGTACCAGGTAGGCTGGAGGCCCTCATGCAGCCCCAGTCTCCCTCCCAGCATCCTGGTCCTCCCAGGCTCTTCTTTCTCCCGGAGGGAAAAAGTCTGGGGCAGTCACCCCTCATTCTCCAGGGGGACAAGGGGGGATGGAGAACAGCAACATCTGGCCTTTTGCCCACAGGTGGTTGGACACTACGTGGGATCGGAGAAGCAGCTGAAGTGGCTGGGCCCCATCCACTGGGTCAAGGGGCAGCCGCCCCTCGATAACCCCCCCTGTTTTGACATGGATGACCCCTCCTGTGACAAAAGTGGGTGTTGGGGGAGAGACAGGACTCCCTTCACCCTGGGAGAGCTTTGGAGGACCCCTGACCGCCCCCTCCCCTTTTCTCCTCCCTCCTTTGGATGGGCTGCCTGCTGTGGGAAGCTGGTTCTCTCCCTCCCAGCGGACCTATCCCCCCTCCCTGCCCAGAGAGACCCCCCCCCCACCAGTGACACCCAGCCTGTGCCTTTCAGGGTGCCTCTCTGGGGTGGGGGGCTGGCAGGCGGGGGACGCTCACTGATTTGCTGTGTCCTTGTAGGTGCGCTCAGCACCCTGGCTATCCTGGCACTGGGGGCCGGATTGACCTTCATCATGTTTGGGGTTTCCAGCTTCCTGATCTTCAGGTGCCTGGGCAAGCTCTTGGCGGCCACTGGAATTCAGTGGGGGAGAAGGGGGGGTGCCCTGGGCAGAAACTGAGGGAGGGGCATGGCTGTAGTAGCCACCTCTTCTGGCTCTTGTGCTGCAGGCTCAGCCCTGAGCCAAGGCCGGGTCCAGTAGCAGGGGGCTTGGGGAGGGGAGCTCAGCTGTGGCTCTTGGCAGGAAGCTGATGCTGGAGAAGGAGCTGGCAAGCATGCTGTGGCGGATCCGCTGGGAGGACCTGCAGTTTGGGGGCTCGGAGCGCTACCACAAGGGAGCGGGCAGCCGACTCACCCTCTCGCTGGTAGGTACTATGGGGCACCCACGGGGTGTCCCTCCAAGACCCAGCCCCCCCACCTGTTCCCCACCCCCCCAGATTTTATGGGGGTCCTTCCCCCCCCCTCCTTCCCACTCGGCCTCGGTTGCCTGTGACTCTCTGCCGTGGCTTCTCTCCAGCGTGGCTCCAGCTATGGCTCCCTCATGACGGCCCACGGCAAGTATCAGATCTTTGCCAACACAGGACTCTTCAAGGTGAGACGTATGTATGTATGTTTGTATGTATGTTTATTAGTCTTGTATGCTGCCCACTCCCGGAGGACTCCGGGCGGCTTACAATAAAAAGGGGAAGGGAATAAATAAGACAAACAAACAATTTAAAATACAACAACATTCATCGTTACCGTGGGGCTGGATACTTCAACAGCCCCCCCCAGCCTGCCGGAGCAGCCAGAACTTAGTGGCTTTACGGAAGGCCTGGAGGGTCGTAAGGGTCCGGATCTCCACGGGGAGCTCATTCCAGAGGGCCGGAGCTGCAACAGAGAAGGCTCTCCCCCGGGGGGTTGCCAGCCGACATTGGCTGGCAGATGGAATCCGGAGGAGGCCTAGTCCGATCGAATCGGTCTTTGGGAGGTAATTGGCAGGAGGCGGTCTCTCAGGTACCCAGGTCTGATGCCATGAAGGGCTTTATAGGTGACGACCAGCACCTTGAAGCGGGTCCGGAGACCAATGGGCAGCCAGTGCAGCTCGCGGAGGATAGGTGTAACGTGGGTGTACCTAGGTGCACCCACAATCGCTCGCGCGGCTGCGTTCTGGACTAACTGAAGTCTTCGGACACTCTTCAAGGGCAGCCCCATGTAGAGCACGTTACAGTAATAGAGAGACACTATTCCCCCCACTCCACCCCAGCTGCCTTGGAGGTCAGGCCGGCTGAACTCCCCTCTGCTCATCTCTTGACCTCCAGGGAAACGTGGTGGCCATTAAACACGTCAACAAGAAGCGGATTGAGCTGACGCGGCAGGTGCTGTTCGAGCTCAAACACGTATGTACTGGGAAGGGGGGCTGACTACTCTGGGGGTCTTGTGGGGGGGGAAGCCTCTGCTGCAGGGAGGGAGACACTGGCAGTGGCCCCCGCTCCATGCTTGCTGCCCCACAGATGCGGGATATCCAGTTCAACCACCTGACCCGGTTCATCGGGGCCTGCATTGACCCCCCCAACATCTGCATCGTGACCGAGTACTGTCCTCGTGGCAGTCTGCAGGTGAGGCGGCTGTCCAGGATGGGGGAGGGGGAGGCAGGGCTCCCCCTGGTGGACTGTGGCTAAAGCTGACCTCTGCCCCTTCCCCCATGGCCCGCCCAGGACATTCTGGAGAACGAGAGCATCAACCTGGACTGGATGTTCCGCTACGCCCTCATCAATGACATCGTGAAGGTGAGGAGAGGGGCTTCTGGCAACCGAGAGGGGGGGATTGCGCAGGACACCCGGCCGTTTCCCTCACCCCAAAGGTCCCGTCCCCCCAGCGGAGGCTCTGCTAGCTTCTCCAGGCTTCTGACTGTGCATCACACAGGGCATGGCCTTCCTGCACAACAGCATCATTGGCTACCACGGCAGCCTCAAGTCCTGCAACTGCGTGGTGGACAGTCGCTTCGTGCTCAAGATCACGGATTACGGCCTGGCCAGCTTCCGCCAGGGCCACGAGAGCGAGAGCAACCATGCGCTCTATGCCAGTGAGTGCCCAGCAAGCCCCCCTGTGGCCCCCGGGGAAGCTCAAGCCCTGCACCCCCCTGACCTCAGACTCTCCGGCTCCTGCTCCAGAGAAGCTGTGGACGGCCCCGGAGCTGCTGCAGAAGGGGACGCTGCTCCCGCCCCCGCCGGCCATGCAGAAGGCGGATGTCTACAGCTTTGGGATCATCCTGCAGGAGGTCGCCCTGCGCAGCGGCGCCTTCTACGTGGAGGGCCTAGAGCTCAGCCCCAAGGGTGAGGAGGGGCCGGGGGTCCAAGCGGAAGCCCAGACCCTGGGAGTTTTCCCTGGCAAATGTCGGTCCTCTGGCCTCCAGCCTGCGCTGATCAGGGTGCCTCAGCCCGGAGAATCAGGAAAGGTCAGCAGTGGAGGCAGCCGGCCCCCCATTTCCTCCCACCACCGCCCTGCGCTGACCTCTTGCAGCCAAGGAGCCCTCCGGCCTGGATGGATCCAGCAGAGGGACCGGCCATCTGAGGGGCGCTGCTGAAGAGGCGTGGAAGTAATGCCTCTGGGCTCCGGGGAGACACACGGGCTGGAGCCCCTCCCTGGGGGGGGGGAAGGCTTGGGCTGCACTTATGTCTTCTGGGCCTCCCCAGAGAGCAGGCAAGGGCTTCTCACCTGGGGAGAAGGATCCCCATCCCCATCCAGCCTCTTCCACCAGCTCACCTGGGCTCTGGCTGCCACGGCCACACCTGGGGTGGAGGGAGGGGATGGCACTGCCTGAATTCAAGTTGGGGGCTTCCACCCCAGAGAACGGCAAAGGGCTAGTGGTGCTGGCTGTGCCATTGGCTGGATTCTGCTACTTGTGACCACCCAGGTTTGACCCTGTGACCTCTGTCTTTCCAGTGTCCTCCCCTCGTCCTCCACCCCCACCCCCAGGATCGCCATGTTCACTTCTCTCTCCTCATTGTCCCAGCAGCCGGTCACCCCCCTCCCCCCCACGAGTCAGCTGTGCCTCCATCCCATCGCCCCCACATTCACTCCTGTGCATCCCGCCCCACTCCTCCCTCCCCCAGAGGTTGTGCAGAAGGTGTGCAACAGCCAGCCGCCCTACTTCCGGCCCACCACCGACACCCGCCTGCACAGCGAGGAGCTGGCTGTCCTGATGGAGCGCTGCTGGGCTCAGCAGCCAGCAGAGCGCCCGGATTTCGCCCAGATTAAAGCCTTCATCCGGCGGTTCAACAGGTAAGGCCTCCTCCTCCTCCCACCCTGGGGGATTGGTGTGTGTGTGTGTGTGTGTGAGAGAGAGAAAGAGATTGAGAGAGAAAGAGAGAGAGCTTCCTGCTTCAGCTTCTGACCCTCTGACCGGGAAAGGGTAGAAGGTCTCCTCCCCACGTGGCCCTGGAGAAGCTGCTCAGGAGGGCAGGCAGGGCACCTGGTTGCAACCATCCCAAGATTGTCTTCTCATGAGACGCAGACGTACCTGAAGGGGCCTCGGAGGAGGCCCTTCTCTGTGGCTGCTCCGACCCTGTGGAATCAGCTGCCCTCAGAGGTCCGGACCTCACCCACCCTCATGGCCTTCAGAAAAGCTGTTAAAACCTGGCTGTTCCGGCAGGCCTGGGGGCTGTTGACCTTATTATGTAGGGTCCAACCCCGATCTGAACGTATGCGCGTTGGAGAATGTTTTAAAAATTTTTTTTTAATTTTTATTATTTTTTATTAGTAAAAGAAAAATACAACAGCCAATAGATTGCAAAAGACAATACAACATCCGCCACTGTTTTGCTTTACATTTGACTACGTTTCGAGACATTTCCAAAATAACAAAATCGTTATAGACATCAAAAGTTAGGCATCTTCTTCCCTCCCTCCCTCTTTCCTTCCCTCGTTTCTTCTCTGCCACTCCCCTTCCTTCCCTCCCTCCTTCTCTCCTTCCCTCCTTCCTTCCCTCCTTTCTTTTCTCCTTTTCTCCTTCCCTTCCCCCTCCCTTTCCTCTCTCCTTCCCCCCTTCTTTCTCTCATACATTCCCTCCTTCCTTCCCTCCTTCCTTTCTTTCTTTTAGATTCCCTCCTTTCTTCCCTCCTTCCTTCCTTTCTTCTCTCCTTCTCTCCTTCCTTCCCTCCCTCCTTCCCTCCTTGCTTCCCTCCCTGCTTCCCTCCCTCCTTCCTACCCCGCTTTCTTCTCTTTCTTCTCTCCTTCCTTCTTTCCACCTCTCCTTTCCCTTCTCTCCTTACTCTTCCTCCCCTTTAACCTTCCCCCCTTCTTCCGATTCCTCCCCTCTTTCCTACTCTTACATTCTTACAAATTTTTTATTTTTATTTTTTGTTTGTTTTTCTTTTCTTGTTCTGTGGAAGCTGCGCGGGATTGGGCGGCCTATAAATCTAACAAATGAATGAATGAATGAATGAATGAAGGGGGTTCCAGCTGGCCCTGGAGAGAATCTCCCTCTTATCCTATTGAACGTGGACTGAGGGTCCCCATGGGGAGGCCCCCCCCAGAGACCTGGGATGGAGACAAAGGAGCCAGGGAAGCTCCCTGTGGCAGCATAGGAATCTGGCTGCAGGGAAAGGAGGGTCTCCGAAGCGGGCTTTCTCAGGCTCTTCTGTGGCTCGGCTGACAGATAGCCCCCTCCCCAAAGAGGCGGGTGCTCTTCCCACCCAGAGGATTCAAGGGTGGGCTTCCTGGAGGAGAAGTCAGGGCTGAGGGTGTATGTGGAAACTGAGGCTACTCCAGCAGGGCAGATGCTCCCACTGTCCCCAACCTACAACAGTGTTGCCTCTCACCCAAAGGCGTCCGAGGGAGGGGTTCAGGGGTGGCACTTGCACATGCCCAGTCCTGGCCCCCTTCCCTTCCCCCACCCTGCCTGCCCCACTATGGACCCTGCCCTCCACCTCTGACTCAGGGAAGGAAGTACCAGCATCCTGGACAATTTGTTGTCGCGCATGGAGCAGTACGCTAACAACCTGGAGAAACTGGTGGAAGAGCGCACGCAGGCCTACCTGGAGGAGAAGCGCAAGGCGGAGAATCTGCTCTACCAGATCCTGCCCCAGTGAGTCCAACTTCCGCCTCCCTCCCTCCCTCCCTCCCTCCCTCCCTCCCTCTGGGGCTCTGTGGCCCGAGGCCGCTCGGAGGGTCAGCAGCTCCTCTCCTTCCTACCCCTCAGTCCGGTAGCTGAGCAGCTGAAGCGGGGCGAGACGGTGCAGGCCGAAGCCTTTGACTGTGTCACCATCTACTTCAGTGACATTGTAGGGTTCACCTCCTTGTCGGCAGAGAGCACCCCCATGCAGGTAGGCTGCAGCACAGGTGGGTAGGTAGTCCCTATCAGGTCTGAAATGGATGTGGCTGACTCTGGTCCTCCTTGGTTTGGGCTTGGAGAAGTCTCCCCCACCCCCGCCCACCCATCCACTGGCTGGGGCAGGTCGAAGGACAGATTCCCACCAGCCAGTTTCCCTTGAACATCAGGAGCTCCCAGGTTCCTCCACTGAGGAGTTGGGGTGAGGTCCATTTTCCTCACTCAGTGTAGATGGGGAGCCGTGCATGCGGTGCGGCCACCAATAGCAATAGGAGTTAGACTTATATACCGCTGCTTCATAGGGCTTTCAGCCTTCTCTAAGCAGTTTACAGAGTCAGCATATTGCCCCCAACAACAATCCGGGTCCTCATTTTACCCACCTCGGAAGGATGGAAGGCTGAGTCAACCTTGAGCCGGTGAGATTTGAACAGCCGAACTACAGATAACAGTCAGCTGAAGTAGCCTGCAGTGCTGCATTTAACCACTGCGCCACCTGGGCTCAATAAATATGGCTGGTCCAAAGCAGAAGGCCAGTACTTAACATAGGTACCGGTTGTTGGGGAAAGTGGAGTGGCTGTGTTGAGGTGGTCTATTGCAGTAATGGTAAACCTACGGAATGCCTGTCACAGGGTACACGCCACGCCATTTGCGGTGGCATGCCAGGCCTCCGGACACTCTGGAAGTTGACCACTCTCTGAGGGTCCTGGGGGTGTAGTCCAGAGGGGAGGGGAGGGGGGAGGCCTGGAGAGGCCTCTTTTGACCAAGGTGAATTGGAGGGGGGGTATTACACGCCACAGAATCAAGGTGGGCCTTTTCTGAATTTTTGGCATGCTGAGCCCAAAGGGTTCACCGTCCCTGGTCGATGGGGATGACCATAGCCCACCGAGCTCAGTGCCACGTTCTTACTAAGCCCCTGGGGGGGGGGGGTTTGGAATGATCGTGAATCAGGCGACTACTTTCCAGTCCTCCAGTGGTTCGGTGTCACATATTACATGAACACAGCAATCGGGTTTGGTGCTGGCTTAGGGAGTTGGGTGAATGAAGCCGTTGGGAAGCAGAGGAAAGGCAAAGGTTGCTATTCATCCCCCTCCCAATGGTCCCTTATCCCTCCTGCAGGGCTGGGTGTCTCCAATCTGGTCCTTCTCATTCAACTCTGTCAATTGGTCTCTTCTCGCTTTCCCAAAACTGTCGAACCCTCCACCCGGGGCATCAGCAGGAACTGCGGTGCCGGAGGGTCCCAGCCTCATCCGGTCTTGGCCCCGGATGGCCACCTACTCTTGCTTGATTAGACTCCCCTCACCTGCCCAGCCAGCTCACCTGTCTCTCTCCCACCCACCCATCAGGTGGTGACGCTCCTCAATGACCTCTACACTTGCTTTGATGCCATCATTGACAATTTTGACGTCTACAAGGTGAGCCTGGCTGGGTTGGGGGGAGGGGCTCTTCCTCTACAGCAGCCCTGCAGGGAGCCCGCCCCCTCCCCCGTCTGACCCTCCCCCTTGGCCCTGGCCGTAGGTGGAGACCATTGGGGATGCCTACATGGTGGTGTCTGGTCTGCCTGTCCGAAACGGCAAGCTCCACGCCCACGAGATCGTCCGCATGGCCCTGGCGCTCCTGGAGGCTGTGAAGACCTTCCGTATCCGGCACCGGCCCAGTGAGCAGCTGCGCCTGCGCATCGGGGTCCACTCGGGTGAGTCTCCAGCAGGCGAGGGCGGGCGAGGGCCCACCCCACCTGAGCATGCACAGAGCACCAGCGGTTCAGCCGCCCTCCTCTGCCTCCCTGCAGGGCCGGTGTGTGCAGGAGTGGTGGGCCTCAAGATGCCACGCTACTGCCTCTTTGGAGACACGGTCAACACGGCTTCACGCATGGAGTCCAATGGCGAGGGTGAGACACCCCCCTCCCAATGCTCTGTCTGCAGGGTCCGTGCATCCTCACCACCCGCTCCTCTGGAGCCTGCCCTCCCCTCCACCTTCTTTCCAGCCCGCGCCCCCCCCCCCCCAACTTCCTTGTGGATCTCCTCTCGTCTTCAGCAGAGGCTCCAGTGCAACGGTAGCCCCGTTTCCCAGAAGCCGAGTGGGCTGGGACCTCCTTAAGGGCGATGGGGGCACAACAAGAACAGCGAAAGCCTCCCTAGTTTAGTCTAATCAACTTTATTGCGGTCTCCGTCACTGCTGTGGGCCCCAAGACCCCCAAGTGCGCTGCTGCTGGGCTCTTTGGGAAGGGGACCCTGGGGGGGCATTCACTCTCCTGCCCCCCTCCCTTCCAGCCTTGAAGATCCACATCTCGGCAGCCACCAAGGAGATCCTGGACGAGTTTGGCTGCTTTCTGCTGGAGCTCCGGGGGGACGTGGAGATGAAGGTGGGTGTGGGGAAGGGGCTGCCCTTTCCCTGCTCCGAGGGGTGGGCTGCATTGTCATAAAGGGGGCAGGAGGCCCCTCACGCAGGCGTCTGCTTTCCGGCAGGGCAAAGGGAAGATGAGGACCTACTGGCTGCTGGGCGAAGAGAAGACGGCTGTCATCTGAGGGGGAGGGGGGCTCCCTCTGCGGGGACCCAGCAGGAGCAGCTGCTCCCACAAACGAACAAACGGACGGACGGACGGGTGGTGGGTCTGCCCTGCCTTGGAGCAGCGAGGGAGGGCACCAGGCAGCCAGCCTGCAGGCCAGGAGGGCTTTGCGCCAGGGGAGGCAGCGCTATGCCTGGAGCAGCCAAGGTGGGCTCTTGCTGCCCTGGACACCGAGGGGTCTTCCCCCCCCCTGGCCTGTGACACCTGGGCAGCAGGAACACACCTGCCGACCCAACTGCAGATGCCCTTTGCCCACTGGGGCCTCCTGGACCCATTCGATGCCCCGCGCCCCGGCTCAGCCGGCTGAGCCAGCCCTTCAGCCCTGCTGCTCATTTCCCCGCTTTGGTTGCAAATTCAGGAACCAGGCAAGCAGTTTTGTCCGAATGGAAAGAGGGAGAACAGCCCCCTCCTCCATTTAGCAGGAGAAGGGATGGCAAAGGCTCTATCCAGCCCCGGATGCTTTGGTGGTGGTGGTGGTGGTGCGGCGGCGGCGCAAGGGAACTTCCTGGAAACGGCTTTGGGGGTTGGGACTTCAGCTCTTGCAGGAATTTCACAGGGAAACCAACACTTTGAGGAAGGGTCTCTCCATCCCCCCTCGGCCTGCATGAGCTCGGTACTTTTCCCAATGGGCCAGGGGGGCGGCAAGGAAGTGTTCACAGATTGGAGCAGTTTTCTGGGCTGTACAGCGACGGCTGGTCGAGGCATTCCGGGAGGGGGGTGGTGAACGTCGCACACTTCCTGAAAGGGGTGTCGCCAGTCCGGATGCTGGAGGTGCCCTGTGCAGGGGGGGTAAAAAAGCCTGAAGAGCAGCCGGGTGGGTGGAGCTGCCCTTCTGGCATGGGTCACCCGTCCTCGTGGCTGAGTTCAAGCCGCCCGGCCAGAACAAACTCTCCCTGCTGGAACAACAGGTGCCCGGGCTGCCCGCCCGCCCGCCGTGTCCTTCACAGCCTCTCAAGGACGAGCCTCATGGGGGGGGGGAGGCAGAAGGGCATGGCAACAACAGATTGGAGAGGGTGGCACTCACCGGCACCTCCCGGGCATGTTCAAGCCAGAAGGTCTGTGGTTGTTCCAGCCGGTAGTCGTGGGGCTGCAAGGGGAGAGGAAGCCATGAGGAAGCGCAGGAGGGAAGGGGGGGGGGTGGCTGCTATTCTGGCCAGCAGGGGCCCCTTACCTGGGTGGGGGGCAGGGGGGCAGAATGGAAGCCCTCCTGCCTGTAGTCCCGGTGGGTGATGGAGAGGGACTCCATGGGCTCAGGCGGAGGGTGGGTGTCGCCCGCCAAGAGGCTGGTGCTGCAAACCAACAGTGACAACAACGGCAGTTGAGTCAGGAGCTGCACTGGCAGAAGCGGGGGGGGCAGGGGGTGCTGGTTGCAGATTGCTCTCTTGCCCCCTCCCCCCCCAGGGGGCAGAAGCCACCTCAGGGACCAGAGGGCTTCGCTTGTTAAGCGAGGCGTGAGATCTCCAGCACCATCAACGGCACTGAACCCAGGGAATTTGTGTGTGTGGGGGGGGTGTCACCAGCAGTTGGGGGAAGGAAGGCTGGTGGGGGTCGCTGCAGCCCCGTAGAAACCTCCTCCCGGAAAGGTTTTATACGTTCATTTTCTAGACGGAGAGCAGAAGGGCGAGGATCATTTTTTCCAAAGTCTTTTATGAATAAAAGAAGAGCACCCAAAAACCTGCGGGGTCCTTTCATTGGTTTCCCGAAGAAAGCGGGCTTTGGCACTGCCGGAGCATTCCTTGCGGGAGCCCTGTGTGCCAGCCTCAAAGGAGGCCACTCCCGGCGTGTATAAACGGTTGGGAGCAACACGGCAAACATTGATCGGGCTCTTTGGCCAGGCTCTAACTCGGCCGCCTCCTCTGCTGTCCAATCGCCACGACTGAGGGGGTGGGATCTCCTCCCAGGCACAGGGAAAGGGCTGGCACAGCTCCGGTGGCTTCATGCCACCGTGCCCATCCCTGCCGACTGGTCGGGCGAGAAGGGCAAGGAAAGTCCTGAGAGCAGCAGCTGCAGCGCTGAAGGGAGCTTCTTCCAGCCCTAGGGTCCCTGTCCCGGTGGCCCTGCGTGAATCCCTTGTTCTCAGCAGGGAAGGCCACAGTGGGAGGAGGGAAGGGGGAGTGAATTCCTTTGCAGGGCTCCACCTGCCAACCTGCTCTGGACATCGGCTGCCTCCCTGCAGCTGCAGGGGCCCCTGGGAGTGTCCTTGCGTGTCTGCTGGGCCACAGTGGAGACTTCTGCAGCCATCGGCCTGCTGGGGTTCTTTCAACCCAAGGAAACCCTAATTGAGTGGTGGTGGGGGTGGGTGGAACAGCCCGCCTCCTTTTCCCCAGCACTTCTCTGGCCTCCTCCTGCTGCTGCTACCACTTGCCTTACAGATGGTTCTCTCTGGCCCGGTGCCCCTGTACAGCTGCTGCTGCCACTCTCTGCCTGGCCAACCTTCGCTATCCCGTGCCCCACATCCCACTCTGGCCCCTTCCCGCCTGGTTCTCTCCTTCGTCGCTCTTTCAGCTTCCAGGGTTGGGCAACGTGGCCTCCCACCGGTCCTTGGGCAAGACTGGAGAGCCTTCCACGGTTGGTGCTGTGCAGAGGTGGGGGGTTCCTACCAGTTCGCACCTATTCGGTAGAACCGGTTCATCAAATCTACCGAACCGGTTAGAAGAGGTCCCACCGGTGGACCCGGAAAGCAGGCCACACCTACAGAAGAGGCTCCAAACTTTTTTGAAACCCACCACTGGTCCTTGGATATGA